GATGATCTGGTGATCTTTCGCCCATTGTATTTTTGTTCTGTTGTAGCCTTTGACGGGACACTTTATTTTCACTTGAGTTCCGTAGAATATTGTTGCTGAACCACCCACTTTTACTGTCACCTAGTTTAACAGTATCGATAAGAAAACTAAGTTCATTTATATCTTTAAGGGACTCATCAAACAACAACATATGACCACATTATTATTAGCTCATTTTAGATTTAACTCCATCCCAAGGTTGATTGGAAAAGATCACTTTTACTTATAAAGCTAGACATTTGTATGTCTCCTTTCTACAATTGTAAGTATTATGTGTGTGTGTGTGTGTGTATAATAAAGAGTATTCTATCTACAATATCTCTCTATAATATGCTTGGACTAGTGTAGACTATTGCTTGGACTAGTGATTGTAGTCTTCCGAATATCTAAACTTACCTTCTTTTTCTTTGGATCGTGTTGTATATAAGACGAATTTGCCAACGATATCTCCGGTGAGGCGGTGTCCAACAGACATGGTCTAGAGTTGCAGGACTTAGTGGAAGCGGGTCGCGGCGAGCTGCACAGGGTCGCTGGTCGTTCCACCACGTGGGACTGGGCCATTATTTGCTTGCATTCCACCTGAGTAAGTTTAAGCAGCTTTGAAATAAATAAATCTTGCCGGTTTTTTCAGTACATCTTGTACTCCAAGTGCAGATTTTCAAACCGATGGCTAGTTTTCGACATGCACAAATCATCGTTGCTGCGTAGACTGAGTTATATTGAAAGTAAATTAAATTTTATGGATTCAATGAATCTATTAATTCAGTGAGAATGTCATAAAGCTCAAAGTTCTTATGTTTACATTACTCAATGATTATAACTAATTTCATAATTGGTCGTCACTCAGTCTGCTTTCATTTTAAATTCATACATACACGTTTAGAGAAACAATACTGCCGCTAAAATCTTCAAGAGGAGCGATTCAATATAAACGAACAATAGACTGGTACATATAAAATATTCGCAGATTTATACTCAAACACTGAAATTCTATACAAAGCGAGAGGTAATACCATCTAAGCATACATTATGACAATTCAAACAAAATTTATAATGCTAATTAGACGACTGAAAGAAAATGTTTAGCTAATTCTGGAAGAATCTTATAATTTTCTCTTTAGTATCATACATTTTGGCATTTATTTATAATGGTAATAGGTATTTTGATATTAACTAGTTGTTTGCTTTGAGTTGTCTGCTTCATCACACCGCACGTCTAGGTAAAGCCTTTGAGTACTGCAGTGCCTATCATACCAACGTCGCGATGCACCTTCATGTGAGTTGTTTTGTCTCCTTTTGCGACCCCTGAAGAATGACAATAGGCAAAAGTAGTTTCATTCCTACCGTCCTCTGTTTGACGCCTCCGCCGCAAGTTTTGGAGCATTTCGACCAGTCGCCCGTCTGCCAGCGCACGGGACAGTCGAGTACGTTGCAGTACTGACGGTCGGGCGGCGGCGGTTGGGGGCACATACTGTTCGGCACTACCACGGTATTTGTGCCGCCGCGGGTCACCTATACAAACACAAATGTACATAAAAATCTAAAACAGCAGAGAAGACGTTACACAGTTTTCGACGCCGAAATAGCTACAAATTATGTTTTTACACATGAGAAAAGCACGATAGATGTTATTTATCAATATAGTTGATTTCTGACTATTAACACAGCAGAAGAGAACTCTTTACATAAGTCTATCACAGTGAGTATAACTGCCTAATGTAAAACTCGTCAAGTACACTTGTATTTTTACTCTGTATATAATTACATCTAATAAAACAATCAGTGATATAACTACATACTCATTTTTCATTGCTTGCCAACTCGTTTCTAATTTTTCACAATTTTTCGACGGTCGGACAAATGCTGAATGAAAATTTTATAAAACAGGTATTAAGATTTAAACATAGAAAACATTTGAAGAGATAAAAGTAAATTAACTTGATTAGAACTTCATTACATAAAATTTGATATTAATGAAATATTAAATTTTCAAATTTCTATTCATATTTTAAACTCGAGATTACAAGTTATAAGATGTCTATGATTAGACATCATAGCCGTGTCTTGATCTACAAATAGTTTTCTAAAAGAGACTAATTGGATAGGAAATTTTAGAATAGGATTCTCTTATAAAAGTTAAATTATTTCGGGATGAAATGAATAGGGAGAATGATACATAAACCCACTATTGCAGGAGATTGTTACTTTCATATTACAGGGAAACTTGTATATGAAATAAACAGGCACAAAATGATACAGAGATTAAGCAAGTATTTTGGTTTCCATTCCACACCCACGAGTTTTTAAAAGAGCTAACTCGTGGGTAGCAGTTGTTATATTTGTTATTTATTTCGGTTTTATTAAAATAAATTTTAGATGTTCCGGGAAATATTAATAGAACTTGAAGAGATTAAATCAGTTTATAATAAACATAACAATATACAACATCAGAATCAAAACTATGGTCAAGACTGCACCAAACAGACATCTAGTTGGGCATTTGTCGATCTATTTTCTGCATCAGATTTTTGCCTCGAACCTATCTAGTCTACCACTCGGGCGCAAAGCGCTTTAATATTATAATATGTTTTCTAATTATTATTTACCTAAATAAAAATGACCAATGAAAAATGTATATGTCATATTCCAAATACGTCAATAAAGACTTATTTTTTACACATGTATCTATATGTTTTTGACCAAACAATTTAGTAGTACACGGTAATGAAAGAAGTTTTTTCAGACCGTAGACAGAAAACTAGAAATACTGATAGTATGAATATTTTTTTTAAATAATTTAATTGTTGCGGGTTTGGTAAGGAACATAAATAGGACGAGTAAGGAAAAAATAATGCGTAGGATGAGACGTCATAGCAAGAATACGGAACAACCCAAATATCAGTATCTAGCTAAGTTAGGCACAGGAACGTAATTCCAGTGTATTGTATATCTTCTGGGACTTTGCATAATTTCAATGCTCACCTCGTGTATGCAGGTCACTTCTCGTGTTTGTATCCCGATCCCGCAGGATTTAGTACACTGGGAGAATTCTGTGTAGTTCCACCTGCAATAAATATTTACTGTTGTGCACTTAAGCTTTAAAATCACACTGTCTTGTATCATACGTTTTAGTATTTAGAATGCAACAATATATCTTCGAACCTTAGCTGTGTCTCGTGGTTTTGCTCAGCTCTAAAGCCTTTATGCAAATAGGATTTCAAACAATAAAGTATAATTTATTTCAATATCATAATTCATCGATTATATACAACATATTAAAGAAAAATATGAAATATTAAACCAAAATGAAAAACTGTTCGATAGTTTTTGATTTTAATATCCGATTAGGCAGACAGATATAGTGGGAGGTGGGAAAAGAACAATGGTTCTTTTCAGGGATTTTCATTTTAGAATAATTATCACATGAAAAAGTAGTAGGTAGTCTTATTTGTAATTTTTTTCAGCCACTTTGTGGTCATACCTTGGCGGGCATGGGTGGTCGTTGCAAGTCCTTACTCTGTTTTCAGGCTTTGTCAGAGGATCGCACATGTATGGAGAAGCATTCTTACCGTCTTCATCTCTTACACATTGAATGATCAGCTCCTGTTGACATCGATATGAAGATGTTATAGAGAAAAATACAAAGGGTTCTAAACGAATATTAAAAATAATTTAATAGACTTTTGTATTTGAAGAGTAATTCTCTAATAGAGCTTCTTTGGCTTACATTTGTGTATAAGCGCGTTAATTTGATCAAAATATATTTTTTTACTATAGTGGTTTCCTACACAATTTATCTACTTATCTCAAAACGCTAACAATATCAAAATTAGATAAGTATATAAAGCGAATCGATTATAGCAGCAACAGGCAAATCAATAATAGTACAATATTTATTTATTTTTTACCTGAACACCACTGAGACAAGACGCGCTGCAACTGGTATATCCTTTTTCTTTCCAAGAATAGGACTTCCCCGGAGATCCGGGGGCGACTCGTATGTTACTAGAAGTCCCGAAGATTAGCGATCTGCTGGGTTAGCAGAAAAAATAATAATTCAATGTACTAATTGTGTGTGCGTGCAAGGAGCATTATCTAATTCTGTCCTATATTATTTAATTTCCTTGCAATTTATGTAAATAAAATGAAACTCCATATTAATGTTGTAACAAAAATATGAGTCAAATAATACTTTCCCCTTTTTAGGGTTCCATATTCAATAAGGAACTATTTGTAGTTATGCCATGTCAGTCTGTTTGTCTGTTCGTCCGTCCGCAGCTTAGCTCTAAAACTATTGGCACTAAGTTGTAATTCGGCAGAAGTATAAACGTTATTCACGCCGACAAACAGGTAAACTAAAATCTCGATAAAAAAGTTTTTTAGGGTACCTCCCCTACATGTAAAGTGCGAATGATTGTTTTTTTGTTTTTCCCATAGTGTATCATTGGATAAGTTTTTCAAAAATATTGGGGTGTGGGAAGATCTTTTTTGGAGCTTAAGCTATAAAGAGCCAATTTTAACTAGTCAAGGGGGACACTTGGGAGGCCAATTAAATGATTGATGTTAAAAATTGACACGTCAGGGCCATATCTTTTATGTATAATGAATTTAAAAGGAAAACATGCTTAAGTCATAGTTAAGTTTACAAGTAATAGTTGATCAATACTATTTAACTTGAAAATTTTGAACAACTCCATAGTAGACAAATAACGTGATTTTTAGCGTTTTTTATGGATAAATAAATTAAATGGTACGGAATCCATCGTGCATGAGTCCGGCTCGCAATTGGTCGATTTTTTCACACTAACATATAAGCATATAATTTTATTTGTAGGCAATTTAATATTTTTCATGAACGACATTCTAAAATGAGGTTATCTTCACGTGAATCCAAGGTTTATCATTGCATGCAATATTATCAGTCGTAGCTTATCTCTAAATATCAATGATATAACAAATGTGTGATATCACTTCAGTGATAACCGCTTAAATCAGAACTTTAGTAAAATGTCTTTAGACGTTAATATAAGTGAACCCGAAGAATTTAGCTGTGTCGAATTACATAGTTGCCTTGAAGATGTAGCTAAGGTATTGGATTTTAACGACTTTAAGTATCATGTGGATCTTATAAGTGGAAAAGGTGAAAGCTACGTAGCTAATATATTTAGAGTTGTGATTAAAGAGAATGAAGATAATGGTAAAAATGTTAATGTGATAGTAAAAACTTTAATTAATACTACCAGAAGAGAACTGTTCCGTGACTTACATAATCGTGAAGTGTTGGTTTATGAAGAGGTTATACCTAAATTTATGCAAATCCAAAGAAAGTTGGATTTAAAGCAAAGGTTTTGCTTTCCAGAATGTCTATATACAAATGCAAATAAAAACAAAGAGATTATCGTACTGCAGGATTTAAAAGATATCGGTTTTGGAATAGATGAGAGAATATCAAAATTTGAAGAACTAAATTACAAACAAACAAAGTTGATTCTAACTCAATTAGCCAAATTGCATGCGTTATCTTTTGTCTATGAGAAAGTAGAAAAGGAAAATTTTGATAAAGTTAAAGAAAAGTTTGCCGATATACTATTCCAAGAGAAATTTCTTACCAAGAGTAAACTGAGAAATTATTTTTTCGAATCGTATGATATGTCTTTAAAATTTGTAACAAATATTGAAGCTAAAAAGAAGTTAAATGAATTGCGAAACAAACTAGTACATATATTGAGATTTTATACTCAACCGTCTAAGCATAATGTTTTGTGTCATGGAGATGTATGGCTTAACAACATACTTTTTAAGGAAGTAAGTTATAAAATTATTTAATTGCATAATAATTCAGGAAAAATTCTGGTCAGTGAACAGGATTCAATATTGTATTAGGTACGATAAATCATAGAAGTATTTACCTTTCATAGCATATGTTACAACGTCTATAATAAAGACGTTATAACATATGCTTTACCTACTGTACCCGGCGGTTGATGGCCGATTTTATTTAGTCAATTAGCCTACCTTGTTTACTACTATTAAAGTAAACATAAAAATTGTTATAAATATTGAACTATCCATTATAAAATTAAAAAATAATTTGTAAATATGTTCAATAGTCGCCACTAAAAGATACGAAAAAACGTTGTGCAATGGAATAAATATTTTTCCAGTAAATTGACTTGAAAACTTATAATTTTATATATACACATATAAAATAAAATATTAGAAATTAGAAAAAAAAATCAAATTATAACCTTTATTTTCAGGAAGGTGAAGAAGATGAAATTTGTTTCTTAGACTATCAAGTTATGCGGTACTGTTCTCCTGTTATAGATATTATATATTTTATGTATCTAAGCACAACTTCAAAGTTTAGATCTGAAAATTTCGAAGATCTCCAACAAGTATATTATGATTCGCTAAAATCATTTTTAAACCTATATGACTTAAATGTCAATAATATTTACCCCTGGACAGAGTTCATTGATGAACTAAAATATAGTCTTCCGTTTGGGTTAATTATGGCTTTGGTGGAAATGAGAATAATTACTACCTCACCTGAAGATGAAGCAATATTAAGAAGAAATAACATAGAATTTTCAGTAGTGCCCGGAGAGGTTGAGTTGTTTAAGTACAGAGTAAATGATTTAGTTGAAGAGTCTATAAGTAACGGTGTATTGGTAAAACTTTTGGAAACTATAGCTGCGTTTTATTAATGTTTAATTACAGATTGTCAGAAAATAACAGGTAATTTTTATTATATTTTAACGTTAATATATTTAATCCTAAAAAGTGTTTATTGTGACCATTCGTTGGACTTACCTATCTCCTCCACCATATGAAGGTACACTTGAGTCTCCGAACGAGGTACCGTAAGCCATGGAGCAAGGTTCCATTACACATCTTTCAGTTTCTTCCGCAGGTTTTGGTCCCATACATTTGCTGTCTGGAAGCTTTGCAATTGTTCTGCTAAATTCTAGAAATATCTTGCAATGAACCTCTTTCTTTCGCCAACCTTCACCGCATGTAACACTGCACGGGCTCCATTCGTCATCTTTGATGTAGCTATAGGAAAAGTTCTTTATTTACAACTAACATAGAGATTATTTTTTGGGTTAAGAAATCTAAACTATAAAATCTATTTAATTCAATTCACTCAGAGGACTCAAGTTAGACATGCTAGGTGCTTAGGGTCTAGTATATAATTAAGGGATCCTAAAACGTATTTGTCTATTCTGGCTGGTTTATGTAGAAGTATGTGCACCAGTGTTAGTCTGTAAAGTATTTTATCGCCAATTCAATGCCTTTTCACCTGTAAACCTTAATCATTATAATTTATTTTAATAACTTAAAATAAAAAGTAAATCTATTTTCAAAATGTAAATATTTTTGGAATAAAAATTCAAGGTAGCCGTGTTTTGTGTGCCAGAAATGTATAGTTTATTTAGGATACTATAAAAAGTGTTCGGAAGCAAAATAAAAATTAGGCAAGACATTCTCTTATAGTGTAGTATTATGTGCAGAGAATTTAAAACTTTGTTGTGCCGTGCATAGAGTAGAAAAATGCAAGTAAGAGTATCGTAGTATAATGAAATAAAATGATATGTGAGATTATGATATGTGATGATTTGGTGGGTTTACATTATAAATCATGGTTTTATGTGCATATGAAATTTGGAGTTATTGAATGGGGATATCATTTTGTATTTCTGTAGCTACTGCTCCGCGACTCAATATTTACAAAACAACACTCAGCTAAATTCTAAGACATCTCAAGGGAAACATTCGTTGTCACGTTCACTCAGGTTTCGGAATCTAACTTTATGATCACTATAAAACGTGGGGTAAGGAGTTATACAAAAATAATCTTTAAAACAAGTGTTCGAAAGTCTACGTTAATTCCCAAAGAATTGTTTCGTATATCTAATAAAATACTTAAGCTACCGAAGAAAATAGAGCTAGTAGCAACTGGATACGTGTCGGATGGGGTTGATGTCATTCCTTGTAATAAAATGTGTGATGTTATTCTGAATCCAAAAGTGAAACCTTTAAAAACTTGAGTACCAGGTACAATACCTTACATACAACCAGCCACACGCAAAGAATATTTTGTAATTGCTGAAAGAGACAACAACAAAATACTCTGAGCTATTGATAAATCAGAATTTGATAAAATTATAGACTTATGAGAAAGTCAAGATATCGGTCACTATAAAAAAAAGCATAATTATGACACTAATTATGAAGCTTATACAAATAATTGACAGTCACAAACTACATAATGGGTTAATATTAATATTGAGGCCATAATTTGAAATATAAAAGTATTTTAAAAAAATCCAAATTTTAATTTAGTCTCTGGTAAAACTTATTATAAACACAAATAGTTTTACAATTTTTGAGCTTTGCGAAATCTAGAATATAGCTTGTATATCTTTAATAAAATTTTAGCACCCAAAACCAATTGTTGATTACAAGTAATATTAAAAAATCATCCACTTATGAAATACTGCAGTGTTAGCCAGATCAGATTTAAGTTACGAAATAATTAATGTAAAAGAAATATTAAAATGGACATCAAAAATTTAAAATGTATCTCCAAGAAAAAGAACCAAATTTGATTTGTTATCATGAAATTTTGGATCGATATTTTTATCTACTTCTATTTAACATAAAACTTACGTGGCTTCGACCGGTACTTCTGGTTCACCGATTAACCTTTCAGCCTTCGCTTGAGGGGGTGGATAAGGTTGTATTAAAGGCTGTGTGTGGTAAACGACGCCAGGGAGGATATCTTCTATATCATCCTGTGAAAATTTAGATTAATATTTGTTCATTCATATTATTTAAGCACCTTAGTATAGGTTTCCAAGTATATATGTCGCAGCTAGACCATAGAATTGATCGTGATGATGCGGGCACCAGTTTATGAAATGGAAAAATCTAGCTGCCCCCATTATGATGCTGCCTGGCCAGATCAATGAATAATTTGCGTTTAAGTATAGCGGCGGCTGAGAGTATGGCTTCTTCATGATGTGGCCAAGTGATCATATCGTTAACCCAAACCGTTTGGGAGATGAATGAAGACTTAAAAGGCGTAGCTATGTGGTGTGATGAGAACGATTTGGTTCTCAATAAGATAAAATCCAAATTTATGGTCCTGGGAGCGAAAAACCAAACTGCTATTATTCTGAACAATCCCCCGAGTATCAAAATTAATGGTAGTGACATAGAGCTAGTCAATGAAGCAAACAATCTTGGAATGATTTTTGATAGTCAATTGCGTTTTGAGAACCATGTGTTAGGTACTGTTAGGAATTGTTTTTACCGGCTGAAGGTACTGTATAGGATACGAAATTTTCTATCGGAAAAAGCTCGTATCGCCTTATGTGAATCTTTAGTTTTATCAAGGTTGAATTACGGCGACTTGGTTTATGGTCCTCGTCTGCTGTGTAGGACTCAGATTCTTATACAGCGGTTTCAGAATGCGTGTTGCCGTTTTTGTTTTAATATCCCACCGCGTACTCATGTCTCGCCTTTTATTAATAACGCCTCAATGTTGAATATGGAGTCGCGCCGTTACCTACATCTAGCCATGTTAATGTTTGACATAATTAAGTTAAAAAATCCGAAGTATTTGCTAGATAAATTGACATTCCGTATTCGTGATTTGAGAGTACCAAGGGCCGTGAGGCCTCCACTGGTCATCCAAGTGCATAAAACTGTGGCATTTAGGGGTAGTTTCCGTTATCAAGCGACAAAATGCTGGAACAATATACCACCACCAATAAGGCAACTAACATCTAGATTGTCATTCAAAAAACAAATTAAAACGAATCTACTTGATATACAAAAATTGGGAATAAACTCCAGCCGACGCATGATGACGGTTGCTGGTGCTATCTGCCTCTAAATAGGGACGTTTTGGTAAAATTAACAAAAATATTCTCTTTATATTGTGCTGTTTATCCATGTTATATAATTTATGTATACTGTTTTTTCATGCTCCGACATATGTAATCTGTGATAGTGACTATATTTAAAATATTTATTATTCTCACAATTTAAATTTTGAAATTAGTTGATTAATTAAATGAATGATATTATATTCCATTATAATACTTGTGATTGAATGCAATTTTTAATCGGACTATCATATCAAAGTGAAGCTATAGTTTGAGATCGTGCTAGCACTCTGGGTAAAGGCTGAAAATCAGCGCTTTGCTCCTTGAGCAAAGGAATCGTTGAGCTTTTACCCTTTTGCATTGTTGTGGCGCACACGTTAAAGCGAATTTTTTTATTATATTTTTTTTTATTGTATTAGAATTTTATAATGCATGTGTGCTATTTTAATAATGCAAATAAATATATTATCTATCTATCTATCTATCTTAAATAGTAAGAGGCGCTGATGTCGCATTGTTTTTGGGATACATATTTATTTAATTTTTAGGCTATAAAACAAATCAAAGAAAGTAGGGTGACCAAGCAACGGAAAACAATTACTAGATTGAGTTTAGTAAGATAAATGTAGGAGTTCAGTGCGAAGGTGTAGCAGCAAAGTTTATTACACAGGTTAAGATAAAGACAGGATTGTGATCTAGCTCCAGAGGATGATAAAAATATATTGGATATTGGAGGACATAAAAATTTTAGAGATATGAACTGAACTCAAGTTCCTATATGATTCACTACTTTAGGACACGTGATAGGTTAGAAATTTAAGACAATCACGAAGCGATCGTAATAAATTTCGAGGTTGCTTTTTTTTCAGACCACAAAATCATAGCTCTAACGAATAAACAAGCTATTTCAGCAAATAATTAGATTTCTTTTTAGATTTAATTAATTGAGGATGTCTATCCCTACATTAATTAATTAGTACGAGTATATTAATGATACATTAATGACATTAATTAATTACTACATTAATGATATGACCAAACGTGGGTTGATATATCATTTAACGTTGACGCTTAAATTATACGATCAAATGGCCTGCCGGATCGTAAAATCATCAATTCTACGATATGGCCACGACATATATATGTAATGTAATAAGTCGTTTATTAAAAAAATATATGTTGCACTGTAAATATAAATATTATTTTAATATCAGCCCTTTTACAGCAAGGGCTCAGGCCTTCGTTAAAGATGGTGGTAAGGAGGATGGGCCATGATCTTACACACTGGCCCATGCTGATTGGAGGGTATTATCGACTTTAAATGCTTTCAGGCTTTAAGTGCCTTCCGAAGCATGGAGTAGCTCGAGATACTAATTTTTTGGTCACCTATCTGACCTTGACTGACCTTTGCGAAAGTTGCTTATCCACTACGCGACTAAGTTACTCAGAAAGTGAAATATTTTTTAATAAAATCTAAATGTTGATTTAATTATTTGGAAATCACGTTAATGTTTTATTGACAATTTTCCAATACTCCAGAGACAATTTTTCTATTCATGAATTTCTTAAATGAACATAGTGAAGTGCTGCCGACATAGATATTTTGTCTATACAAAACTGTCAAATTTCTCCATTTAATTTTAAATCTTAAAAAATTGAAAATAAAGTACTGAGTTTTAAAATAAAATGTAGTTAGAAATTTAAGCTTTGCTTTACTAGATGGCGTTTATTCTAAAGTAATCTACGCTAACGTTTCTTTCAAAGAATTTTGCGTAGATTATGTTATCGATTAAGTTTTGTATAAACTTAAGAACTGTTTTTTTCCATCTATATATCAAATTGGATTAATATCTCTAAAGTTTTCAAAGATAAATTGCTGAAACATATGGGATATTTGTTGTTTTTTTTTCTTGTAGTATCTTCGAACTTAAACATCAAGTAATTCCATCATCAGATCGAAAAACAACAGCGTTTTTGGAAAATATATGCTGCCCAATGTAACTATACCACGCGGACGAAGTCGCGGGCAAAACCTAGTACGATATATTGAAAGAAAAAATCGTTTAAAATACCACAATAGGAGTCTTAGTTAGTGTTTAAGTCACCTCAGGTTCATCGGTCTCTCTGTACGATGGACAACTGATTCCCGTAGAGCATGGTCTTGTGATTTCTGGCCTGTTGGATGGATCGCACACTGCGCCTGCTGGCGTGCACTCCACGCCGCGGACTTGCATACCTTCACCACAGGATACTGAGCACTGTGGGATATTTACCTTATTAAAGAATTATGCCTTTGACATTGCCTTGCGTTTTTAATTTCTTTTTACTAAGATACGGTTGCTAAAGTTCATTCGACTGTTCTATACTTTAAATTTAAGTAATATTTTATTGCTTATTCACTAGTGCTATAAAGTACAAAAAAAAACAAAAACAAGGTGATTATGTAGCATCTGTAATACCTTCAGTAAGAGAATCGTCAAATCAAAACTGAGTTAGCTAATCTTAAAAATGTATGGGTTTTGAAATAAATAGTTCAAGTTTGGGAAAGTCAGTCAGTTTGTTAATAGCATTGGAAGATCTTACAAAAAAGTAGTTTTGCCTGTAATTAGTAGCGTATTGTGGGACATGCAAGTGTGCAAGCCGCCTACCTACGCTATCGCTCAGAATTTTGAGATTGATTCTCGAGAGAAGCTCCAGTGAGTCTATTTGATACTGCGCAATCTTGGCCAAGTATACGATGTCCGCTATTTCGTTGCGTTTATATAGGGACAAAATGTGGTGTCTGCAACATTTAGCATCGTAAATGGGTGTCGAAAGATGTACACTTATACTGCAAAAATCTCAAAAACCTACGCTGAATAGACTCGAGTCTGTTAATATGAACATCATACCGGGGTTTCCAGACTTGAAAGCTATACTCAAGGATAATTCGCACCAATGAGCAATATAAAATCTTAATCACTTTTGTATTTTTGAATACAGAACAGGATCTAATAACAAAACCCATAACCATACTGGCCTTTTTGACAATCGTAATTAATTTAATATGATGGATTATACCAAGGTCTCGAAAATTATTGACTACTTATAGTTCATATCCATTGAGGTAGTATTTGGGCAACGGTGTCTTTTTTACGACTAAAATTTATCGAGCTATATTTTAGGACATTTAAATCTAATTATTTAAGTTGCAATATTGTTCAAATCTATGTAACTCCACTTTCAGTAGTAGACAGTCATTAATACCGAATAGTTTTTAAATATCTTTATATAAAAGAAATTTCGAGTGCTTCGAACAAAAGTTAAGGTATAATTAATGAAATACTCTTTATTGTACACACCATAAGTGAATGAAAAATATGTAATAATGTAACAGAACCGTATTATTGGCGGCCTTATTGCTAAGAAGCGATTTCTTCGCGTATAGTATTATGATTATCATTATTGTAATCTTAATAAAAGTAATACTTCTAAATATAGACTTTCTCGATCAACCTAGTAATTTGCTTTACTAATAAGACACAAATAAAATAATTTAATTTAATTTCCAACCTTTTCACATGATCTTCTTTTAGTTACTTTTTAGGTTATTTATTTTTAAATCACAAAGCTATGCTTTCAAGTATTAATATACAACGCAACAATCCCTCATTCAAGAAAAAAAATGCGCCTTAAAAATACTTGAAATAGATAATAAAAATTATGGTTTAAAAAAATATTAAACATAATATTACTTAATTGAGGTTATTTATATCACTATAGGTATGGTATTTTATTATTTAATTAATGAAATTAATTTTAATTTATTTCGCCATTTTGTAAACTTAAAACTACTAAATTATAAACTTCAAGTAATAAGACTGCAAATGGCAACGATTAAATACTAATAATTAGAAGTGGGTATCTGCAAACGTTATTGCTTAGAAGTATTTAAAATTAAAAAAATATATAAATAGGTAAGAAATGTTTGTATAGGCATAGCATTATCAAGAGAGTTACCTTAACAAAAAATATTCAGATAGGTTT